AAAAACCACAGATGACACAGGGCACAGATGGCACAGATGGCATGGATGGCACAGGACACAGGATCTTGAACTTAATGATTGTGGAAGGATTTTGAACTCAGTGATCCTGGAGGGATTTTGGTGATCCTGGAGAGATTTTGAATTCAGTGATCCTGAAGGAATTTTGAACTTGGTGATCCTGAAGAGATTTTAAACTCAGTGAACCTGGAGGGATCTTGAATTCAGTAATCCCAGAGAGATTTTGATTTCAGTGATTTTGGAAGGATTTTGAATTCAGTGACCATAAAGATTTAGGGTGACCACGATCACCCTAAACTTGGTGATCCTGGAAGGATCTTGAATTCAATGATCCTGGAAGGATTTTAAGCTCAGTGATCYTGGAAGGATTTTGAACACAATRATCATGGAGGGATCTTGAACTCAGTAATCCTGGAGGAATTTTAAATTCGATGATCCTGAAAGAATTTTGAACTCAGTGATTCTGGTGAGATTTTAAACTTGGTGATCCTGGAAGGATTTTGAACTCGATGATTGTGGAAGGATTTTAAACTCAGTGATCCTGGAGGGATCTTGAACTTTGTGATCCTGGAGGGATTTTGAACTCTATGATCTCAGAGGGATCTTGAACTCAGTGATCCAGGAAGGATTTTAAGCTCAGTGATCCTGGAGGGAATTTTTAAACTCAATGATCCTGATGAGATTTTGAACTCAGTGATCCCGATGAGATTTTGAACTCAGTGATCCTGGAAGGATTTTGAACACAATGATCGTGGAGGGATCTTGAACTCAGTGATCCCAGAGTGATTTTGAATTCATTGATCCTGGTGGGATTTTGAATTCATTGATCCTGGAAGGATTTTTAACTCAGTGATCCTGGAGGAATTTTTAAACTCAATGATCCTGGTGGGATTTTGAATTCAGTGAATCCTGAAGGGATTTTAAACTCGATGATTGTGGAGAAATCTTGAACTCGATGATCCTGGTGACGTTTTAAACTTGGTGATCCTGGAGGGATTTTGAATTCAGTGATCCTGGTGACGTTTTAAACTTGGTGATCCTGGAGAGATTTTGAATTCATTGATCCTGGAGGGATTTTGAACTCAGTGATCCTGGAGAGATTTTGAATTCAGTGATTCTGGAGGGATTTTAAATACAGTGGTCCTGGAGGGATTTTGAACTCAGTGATCATGGTAGGATTTCAAACTTAGTGATCCTGGAAGGATTTTAAACTCAGTGATCCTGGAGGGATTTTAAACTCGATGATCATGGAGGGATTCTAAACTCACTGATCCTGAAGAAATCTTGAACTCGATGATCCCAGAGGGATTTTCCAGTCCCAGCCATTCCAGGAACATGGACAAACAGCCTGAGGCTCCACCCCAACCCCTGTGGGCCCACCAGAACCAACCCCAGATCCTTTAAAAACTCCCAGCCGCCCTTTCCACCTCATGATCATCATCATCATTCCAAAAACACCACCCCAATTTTATGATTCAGCAAAGATCCTCATCACCAGGCCGAGCTCCTGGAATTCCTGAGGGTTTTTTCTCATTTTTACTTGCGAGGAATTTCCTTTTTTAACGCTGCCTGAGCCAGGAAGCCTGGCCTATCTCTGACCAGCAGCGCCCAAAATTCGGTTTTCCTGGAATTTTCTCCCCTTTCCTCACACACCCCCACATGAGGGGTTTTTTTTGGGATTCTTGCAGTCTGTAATTTCGCCTTCCTGGCCCCATAACACTCGGTCATCATCTGGAAGGAACATGGGGTTATGCAACATTCCCTTCCCCCCTCAATGTCCCACACAGAACCACCCCAAAACCACCAAAAATGTGAGGAAACCCAGCAACTCTGGGGGAAAAAAAAGAGCCTGAAATGCTCAATTTCATCCCCCAAAACAGCAGGCCTGAAAAGCTGCCGCTGTGGTTTCCCTTTGCTATTTTTTTTTTTGCTAAAAATGTGGGATTTGGGGCCCTGGTGTTCCCCTGGGAAGGGGGGATGCTGCTCCCGAGGATTAAAAGCAGCTGACTGATCCACGGGGCTCTCTCCCATGGATTCCTCGAATATTTCCCGCCTGCATCACGGGGAAATTTATTTGTAAGGTGAGGTAGAGTTGGGGGAAAAATTGATTTTTCAGGAGTTCTCATCTCACCTTGAAAAATTCCTCTTTCTCGCTGAAATTTTGTGGGGTTGACGGAATTCTCTCCTCCGGTTCTGCATCATCCTTGGGCTTCTTCTTCTTCTTCACTGATGACATCACGAAAAATTTGCCATCCATGCCATAAATTGCAGTAAATAAAGCCACTGCAATTTAATTTAATTTAATTAAAGCCACTTGCTTTAATTGAATGGGATTCCAGCACTTCCAGTGGAARTGACCTCAATGTTCGCTGTCACAGGGGCGTTTTGAGCCTTTAAACCTCCCATCAAAAAGATGATTTTCATTAAAAAAAAAAAAAAAA